GAGAGGAGAATGGAGGAGAAGGGATTGCGGCGTGGCCATCCCCCCTGGGGGGTGATCTCTCGCTTTCTGTCTCTCTGTTTCTGTCTGTCTGGCGAGCGCACGCACCCTATGGCACAAACCTGCAGCCCTGAGTGGAAGGAGCCGTGCTTGGAGGGGCGAAGATGGCGACCCTGGGTTGATGTGACAGTGGAAACAGGAGGGGTGAGGAGGACCGAGTGGAGCAGCAGTCACAGAAGCCAGGCCAGGCAGGCTAGCTACTCTAGGGCACTCGCCAGCCTCTGTACAGCTCCCCCCGGCTCTGGGTGAGGGTCTGGCGGCGGGTGCTTGCCTTGCTAAGGAACAGCTAGCGGAAGGGTTCCGGCGACAGAGCAAGGACAGGCTATCAGTCTGCTTGGGAGAGGGGGCAGCAAGCGTAAGGGACGCCAGCGGTGGAGGTCGTCTGCCTCCTCGTTCCAAAGACGAGGAAGCAGGCTCTGGGGCTCAGTGCCCCCCTTACTCTGAGGCCTCCCCCACAGTGCTTGCTGCAGCTCGACCTGGTCCAGGGCTGGCTGTGACCTCTGACCTCTCCTTAGTGCAGGAGTTGCCCGAGTGCAGGGCGCTGGTCTGCCTTCCCGGGGGCACAGGAGCCCATGTCTTTCCCAGGTGTCCCCACCCTATTGCTCTGCGTGGGGCTTGTAAGCTGCGGGGCCTGGTGCCACCCTCTGAGCCCCTGTGCTCCTGCAAGGAGGGCGACCACCTGGCCCGCAGGAGCCCGGGTCAGCCCCTGTAGCTTTGGGTCTGACAAGAGGCCCTCCCTGTGTGTGCTCCGGTGAGACCCGGAGGTTTGCACACGGCCAGCGCACACTGCTCTCCAGGAAGCCATCTTTGACAAGAGCACCGGAGAGGTCGTCCTGAAGACATTCAGCCTCTACAGGAAGCTGCTGACTCTCTTCAGAGCCGGTCATGACCAAGGTGCGGCGCGGGCAGCTGGGTGCCAGGGTGCCTGTGTGACCCTGGGGGGCAAGGGAGGCCTGGGAGGCGTTTGGCTCCAAGTGTCCGCACACAGCCTGGCCTACGGGGTTGGGTCCAGGCAGGCGCCCTGGCGGCAATGCCGGGGAACGTGGAGCACCCTCCGTTGAGACCAGGCTACCCTGCCCCCTCCTGCCCAGGTGCTCCCGGCAGGCAGCCGGCTGTGTCGGGGGCCAGGCAGGCTGAGTCCCGCACTGAGTGAAGCAGCTGTAAGCCTCTCCACTCCAGAGGGGCTGCCTGGCTGCTCCCAGACCCTGGCCATTTCCCGTCTGTGCTGGGCCTGCGAGGAGAGGCTGGGCAGGCCTCACCTTCTCGGAGCTGTCCTGCAGGTCCCCACAGACGCCCAGACCCCGCTGTCTGCTGGGTGGGGCGGGGCAGGTGCAGAC